ACACATTCGTCAACTGATTTACAAGTAATACAGGATTTTTAATTAGACACAACTGTAAGGGCAAGAAACCAATTAAAATTAGGTACAAATAGATATATACTGTTAGGAGTTTTAAGGTATTTGACATAAAGAAACTGTAGTTTCATGTTACAGCTTGAAGCCATTCTAGAAAGAAAGAAATGTATTTTTGTATGGTGATTACAAGGTTAGTCAAATCAAAGGATTGTGTATAGAGATAAGGTAAATAATATAACACACAAAATATAATTTTACTGAAAAATCATTTGATATTTATTTACGATATTTTAGAGATTACTCAAACGAAATTTGATAACTTTAAGATGAAGAAAGTATTTAAAATCTTAAGAAGAAAATCACTTTGCAATTGGAGTAGTTAACACACTAACTCCCTATATTCATGAACACATTTTCAGTAGAGATACGTAATTAAACACCAGAGTTTTTGTGTACAAAATACTACTTAGGTTTAAAGAATTTCATGAAGACATGGTATAAAACCCTTATGTTTTTTTTATCATGTTTACTGTAGGGTTACAAAATCAGTTATACTAATCAAGTATGTTGGTAAGTGTTGAGCCAGTGTCAAGAAACTTAAGTTTTAGGTGAAGTCTGTACTTACCACATGTTCTTTCTAACCCTGATTCAATCTCTCTTTGAAATTCAGTTTCTGTTTTCATGTTCATAACATTACAGTATGAACTATCCTGATTCTCATCATCACTGCAACTGAACTTTGAAACATCTTGTAGTAGATCACCAGGCTGTTCCAGTTTCACTTGAACAGACATGTTCTAAAATCAAACAAAGGGTTAATAGAAATAACAACTAGTGTTAATATTACATACACTCTCCACAGTCCACTAACTTAATACATGATGATATGATTAATAAACCTAACATTTCAAATTTACTTATGTAGGTAAGCAGTCCTAAACTATATAAATACTACATATTTTATGTCTGATTCTATAGACAAACAAAAAATTGACATAAAATACATTGAAATAAGAAATTATTCAACAGGAAAGACTCAACAATGACTTTCTTATTTACCCAAACTGAAAATAAAAACTATTTAACTTCATGTTGATATTCTACTGCAGCAAAGCATCAGAGATATCTGCAAAAAACATTGGGTAATAAAACAAAATTTAGAAAATTTACAGCTATTTAGAAACTAAAATATCAACTTTTCATGAATTACATTCAATAAATAATGTTACACCTCTGTGTTCGTTTGTTAATTTTCCGTAAAAATTCTTTCCGAGGAAACTTTAGCGATACAAGTCCTTTCTTAGATAAAACTAGTTTATTCTTTCT